TTTAAATATATTTCAAATTTAAATACTAAATTATAACAAAAATGTAAGTAAAACTCGATAATATGATTGAGTCAAATGATTTTTATATTTATTTATAATATTTAAAGAATTATTATTTATTATTAATATAAAATTTTATTTTTTGGTTATATCTTTAGTTTTTGATTTTCTAACCCTCTAACTATTAATTGACCGAATTTTATTGTTATCTATTCAAAATTGAAAAGAAAAAACCAATGATCATTTATATCTAATCATTCGATTAAGTTTTTATGAGTTTTTAATTCATTTAGTTAACTAATCATTTGCACAGCCCTAATTGCTTCTAGTGGAACGCTATCCTTATGGTGACACAAATAATTATTATTAATGTTACATATAAATTTTATAAGTGTATATAAATTTTTTTTTTTTTGTATTTTATGATTAAGGTGTTTTTAAAATAGTTTTTATGCATTTTGGATATTAGTTTTTCTTTAAGGAATTTTAAGGGTGCACCTCCAAATTGGTTCAATACATCCCATAAAATTAACTTCTTTTTGTACTAATTTTAAAATTAAAATTTTTATTTTAACTTACAAAATAATATTTACTTATTAATAAATTCAATCATTAAAATTATTAATTGTTAAATGCAGGTAATAATTATAATTAGTAATTCAAAACTAATATAATAATTTATATTTTTTATTTAATAATTTAAAATTAAACTATCAATTGATGTTTCTAAATATTTTAATTAATTATAAATCCATAAAACTAGAGATTTATAATATTTTAAAAAATATTTTATAATTTAAATTATATTAAATTATAAAATATAAATTATTAATAAAAATAAATGCTCTAATATTAAAAACTATTTTTATTCACCAATCTTTATTTTATTATTAATTACAATTTAAATTTTAAAACAGCATATTGCAACAGTTTTGCATAGCGTTACAAATTATTTCTATGGTCGTGGGCCTAGTGGCCCAGTGGAATTCACTTTGTTTGGTACCCCTAGGGGACTAACTAGTAAGAGTCTCTACTAGATCGGGTAAGGACAAAAAGTTTCACTTTAATAACAAGTTCAAATGAGTGAATTAGTTTGAAGATGCCAACAATTGTCGTTCACAAGTGGGCAACATGTAAAGTACTTCCAGTGGTTTTTTGGGAAAGAGTGCAGTGATGGGAGTTGCTTGATTTCCAAGGACCCAATTCAAAGTATCAAATCTTGCATTCAGCAAGAGGGTAGAGAGAAAATTTATTTTATCAATTAATTAAAAATTAGGTTAAATATTAATTTTAGTTTCTTAATTTTAAAATTTTACATAATTTTTAATTTTTAATTTTTTATATATTTTTGATTCTTTAATTATGAAAAAATCATTTTTTTAGTTCTTTCATAAGTTGTCTATTAAATTTAACTAAATATGCACATTTTTAAGTTGAATGACAAAAAATATGTATATATTAAAAGTTAAGAGACTAAAAATATATAAATTCAAATATATTTAATGAATTAATTGACATAATGACTAAAAATATATATTTTTTATAAGTAAAAAACAAAAAAATGTATAAAAAAATTGAAAGATCAAAACTGTGCAAAACCTTAAAATTGAGGTACCAAAATTAATGGTTAATCTAAAAATTATATTATAAAAGTACTCTAATCCATTAAAAAATCAATACTCCAAAAAAATGAAAAATGTCCACAGTTAATTAAAGCCTCAAACATACAACTAAAACTCATCAACCTCTCAAGTGACTGCAAAAATCATGGGAAATGCTTTCAGATTCTCATGTTATTCTCCAATTGGTGTAACACCTGCATAAACAAAAAAAGGCGTACTCTGTGTTGTGTGTTTCTTATATAATGGTTAACTCGAGATTTGAAAATGCTGTAAATTTTGTCGGCAACAAAGGTGTATGGTATAGGTTCCACCACTCAAGCACGATACACAAATTAAGGAAAAAAGAACTTAAAAAATTATTGTACACATTAGAATTGTATCTACAATTTTAAAGGTTATGATCGAGGTTTTCGACTATAAAGTGCCTATTGAATTTACTTTATTTCATTTTATTTTTTATAATAACAAAAAAGAAAGATCTTATTATTTCAAAATGCAAGGATTTCTTCACTCTCTTACATCCATATTAACAAAGTCTCACAAGAGAAGCTATAAGTGCAAGCAAATTAAGATTTCAAACTTACAATTGGTGAAAATATTTAATCAGTAAATTAAGGTAAACCTTTGCTCCTTTGATTCCCCTGTAATCCAATGGAATGCTTTTAATTGTGTCAATTAATAAAGTTATTCATGTCTAATTTAAATTAATTAATTCAATCGAAATTGATTTATTCTGATTAAGATTCAATCTAAATCAATATTGATTTGAATTGGTTTAAATTATAAAAATTTAAAATTAATATAAATAATTTAATTTATAATTTTACTTTTAAATCAATT